GCGAGTCTGTGGTCAGTGAGGGGAGAAAAGACTCCGCCCCCAGCCCCGCCCCCGCCTCCATCGCGACCTCGACAAGGCGATCGGGATCGTGGAAGTGGCTACGTAACCCTGGCGCCTTCTCCAACGCCCTGGCCCACGTGGCAGCAAAGATCGGCTCCTCCTCCCCAAAACCTGGCCACATGACCGAGTCAGGATCAGAGCCGAAACAGGAAGCAAATGTTGCCACTGACGGAGAGAGAGAGGAGAAGAAGAAGAAAGTTGATGAAGGGAAGAAGGAGAGTGAGGGCGGCCCAGAGGTGGAGGGAGGAGTGACCACCACGGAGGGTGTGTCTCTCCCTGCTGTTGTGAGGGACCACCGCGCAGCCACCCGCCCACACCCCGCCCAACAGCGAGACCCACGCACCGCGCCCCGCTCAGACCTCTCCGACCTCTTCCTCCAGGAGAGTTCTGCCGAGGGGGAGATGAGTGACGGACCGACCCCTGGCCCCACGACCTCCGACCCTGCGACCCCCGATCCCGTGACCTCCGACCTCCGACCGCGGTGCGCTGTGCCGGAGGGCGGCCTAGAGCTGTGCCCACAGAGACTGCGCAAGTACCAGGTACCCAGGAAGATCTCGGAACTGTCGCAGGCTTTGACACTGCCCAACGTGGAGGTCATACGGACACACGCACCAGACGACGCACACACGGACGCACTCTCGGACACAGCACAGGGGTCAGAGGTGGCGGGCCAGGTGTGTGAGGGGGTGGGCCAGGTGGTGGGTCCGCGGGACGACGGGGCGGGTCAGGGAGGCAAGGACAGGACACAGCTTGGGACGGAGGACATCCCCAGCCTTAGCTCACACCCCGACCCTCTCCCTGACGCTGACCCTAACACTGACCCTAACACTGACCCCGACGCTGACCCTAACACTGACCCTAACACCGACCCTAACCCTGACCCTAACGTTGACCTTGACCCTAGCGCTGCGATCCCCCAGGACAAACTGAGCGCTGGCAAGCCGGCCGGACACAGGAAGTCCCCGCGGTCGGCTTTCAGTATCCTCAGTTTCTTTGACCGCATCCTTCTACCCCAGGATAGAGGGAAGGTGGCAGTGGTGGAGGAGAAGGGGAAGGAGGGAAGAGGGAAAGAGGAGAAGGAAGGGAAAGATAAGGAAGCCAAGGGGAAAGACGGAAGGAAGAAGGAGGTCCCAGAGGAGGGGAAAAGGACGGAAGAGAAAGGAGGGAAGGGAAAAGATGAGAAAGTTGTGGAGGAGCAGAGAGCGAGAGAGGAGATAGGAAAAGAGGAAAAGGAGGAGAAAGGAGAGGAAGTGAGAAAGGAAGAGAAAGATGGAGAGACAGAGGGCAGAGAGGAAGGAAGTGAGCGCGCTAGCCAGCGAGATGTGACAGCCCAGGGGAAGAAACGGGACGGTGACGTCTGTCTGACCAAGTCAGCGACCTGCGACACCCAGGGGAAGTCAGCGACCTGCGACACCCAGGGGAAGTCGGCGACCAGCGACACCCAGGGGAAGTCAGCGACCAGCGACACCCAGGGGAAGTCAACGACCAGCGACACCGACAGGAAGTCAGCAACCTGCGACACTCACAGGAAGTCCGAAGCGACGGTGAGTGTGTCTAAGGCTGTCAGCAGCCCCACCGCGGGCAATGTGTCTAAGGCTGTCAGCAGCCCCACCGCGGG